CACTTCTCCCTTAAATATCAAAACACAGGTCAGGAGCTGCCACCTCCCCTTGAGAATTTGGCAAAACAGGCAAGAGCTGCCACCTCTCCCTGTGAATTTGGCAAAGCAGAGCACTATTTTCCAGGTTTTCTCTGAGCCACAAAAAGGTCTGAATTTTGCAGCTTATAGTGACTCACAGCTCTTTGAAAATAGAATTACCTCTTCAAACGCCCGAATCCCGGCCTAAACTGCAGTTCACTTAAAGAGTTACTATATATCACTCTTAACAAAACGATCAAGCCAAAATCTAAGAAAGATTCTCCTTAATCAATTAACCGGTTTTACGAACAAATATGCCAAACAAAACTTTAGAAAACATGAGAAAGAGAACAACAAAAAAATAAGCAAAGTTTCGTTTTCTGAGAGCACTCACCCCGTCAATGTCGAAGGGACATGGAGTGGGAACACATGGGTCCAGAAGATAGCACGTTTCTTTGCCGGCTTCTGCTCCGCAGTCCAGGTCTCTTCGAAGTCGACTGGATTTGTAGCTTCAGATCCTGCTCACAGCGCCATTAACTGTCGTAGGGGAAAAACATCACAAAGTTCAGTAAAGTAAAAAGGAAGTTTTATTCGGCATATATTCAAAAGGACAAAAGTGGGAAGCGGACAACCATGCTGCCAGAGGCATGTCTGCCCGAGTCCAAAGAATATTACAGAATAGGCAACAATGGGAAAACGGGCAAGCATGCTGCCACAGCCGTGTCTGCCCGAGTCCCCCACGTGTTATTTTTACAATGGGATGTTGACACTCCTCCCACTGAGGGGTGGGATCTCTTTCCCTCCCCTTGAATGTGGATGGAATCTTGTGACTGCCTCAATCAATAGAGTATGGCAAAAATGACGCTATGTAACGTCTGATGCTAAGTCATAAAAAATGTCATGTACTTTTACCTCTTGTTTTCTTGGAATGCTCCCTCTTGGAAACCTGCCACCAAGCTGTGAGGAGGCCAAGCAGCTACTTGGAGAGGCCCCCTGGTGTCCTGGCTGACAGCACCAGCAGAGGTCCCAACTGACAGCCAGCATCAAATACCATCCATGTGAGTGAGCATCTTGCCTTGTTGAGCCATCCCAGCTGACAGTGCATGGAGTAGAGTTGATTCTTCCATGCCAAGCCCTGCTCAAATTGCTAAATAAAAGATTGTTGTTGTTTTAAGCCACTAAGATTTGGGATGCTTTGTTATGCAGTAATAGATAACCAGAACAGGGCTATTGCTGTGTCTGCCCTAACTGTGTGTACAGTAGTCCTGTGATTCAGTGCCTCTATGGGTACCTGCAGGCAGTGAATTTATGTCAGATGTTTGTGCGCATGAGTAGCTATGTGGTCGAAGGTGCTTCTGGAGACAGAATCATGGTACTTGGGGCTTTGCTTTCGTCTCAGTGGGATGTCGTTTGGTGAGAACCCTTTGGAATTTTGTCTGTCTTCTGGATATCTTCTTTTGAGTGTTTTTCCTTTGAACCAGAAAGGCCTGTTTAGCTGAGAGCAAATGCAGCTTAAATTTACTTACCTGTTCTCGGTCCAAGCCCCTTTTAATTGCCAAGGACTTCCAGCAGGTGGGAGGCTGCCAACTAGAGCCGTTGCGTCCCTTTTTTGCAGGGCCTAGAAACACTTTTTCTCTTTTTCTTTTTCTGCTGCTGAGGTCTTCAAAAATAAATCAGAGACAGCAGAGCATAGTCACCGGGGCCTCGAGGTCTCTTGAGGATAGAGGGGGTTAAAACTCTTGACTGCCACCAAAGAAGCTGCTGATATAGGCTCAAATGTGCCTGGGTCAGTAGGCTAGAGATTATCTGGTTTCTGCCCTGCCTTGACTGTTGAAGTCTGTTCCATCTGAGTACAGCCCACATGGTACTAGGCTAGTACTAGGTGGAGGACCTTGGTTCTGAAGATGTCCAGTTCCTTTTGGTCTCCTCTCTAGTGCCCTTGAGCTTCCTGTTTCTTTCATGTTGGCAGCTGGACTTAGCTTTTCTGGTAATGCTGAGGGCTCTGGCTTCACACTCCTGCCCTTGCACTGCCTTCCAGGACCACTAAAGCATTGGTGTCCAATAGATCTTTCTATAATGATGGAAATGTTCTATAATCTGAGCAGTCCAATATGGTAGCCATTAGCCACATGTGGCTATTGAGCACATGAAATGTGGCTAGTGAGACTAAGAAATTGAATTTTCAATTTTATTTAATTTTAGTTAAATTTAAATAGCTGCATGTGGGTATTGGCTACCATGTTGGACAACACAGCTTTGGAGAGTTCAGAGAGAAAACATTTTTGTTTTATCTGTAAAATGAGAATAAAATCTGCCCCGCCTACTTCACAAGGATGTTTAGAGCAAATGAGATGATGAATGTGAAAGAGCTTTACTCATAAGGGATATGGAAAGAAAGCAATGTGAACTGAGTTGCCTTATTCTTTTTTAATATTTCTTTTAAAAATGTTGTTTATATTTGTGTTTAATGGCCCATGCTGGGCTGTTTTGATTTGATCTATTTACATTTCTGTGTCTCCATTTAATCCTGAGCTCTTCTCAGAGTAAGAACCTGGTGGGGCTGTTTCACAGCTGTATCCCCACAGCCAATGGCTGGTGTGTACCTGGGTGTTCATGTTCAAGTGAATGAAATGTCTGGAGTCCAGAAGGATTCCTGGCAGCAGGATTTGAGCTGTATGGTGAAAACTGGGTGGGCAGAGAGGAGGCATGACAATACAATGGTGAGACAGCTAGGCCTCCTGGCTCCTTCTCCCCACACTCGACATTCTAGGCCCACCCAGAGAGAGCAGGGAGCCAATTCCTGATGCTTGGAATGATTTCCCACAATAGGATATCAGGCCTGTGGGAGAATTGAGAAAGACTGATCAGAGGAGAAATGATGTACTCAACACATTCTGCTTGTTAAGGAAGGCCAGATTTATCATATAAATTTCTGCCTAGCCAGGGGTCTGAGGTGGATGTTATGGTTTCCTTTGATTTGATTGATGGTGGCTGTGTTGAAGGTAATTTCTCACAGTCTCTACCCTTCCAAGCACCTGCTCTTCTGGGGTGTGAAAAGGGGAAGTTAGAAGCTCTCAACAGGGCTGCAAGGAAGAGACAGCTTTTTAGTTGTTGTGTACTTATTTGAAAGAAAATTTTAAATATATTTTTGCTCAATTACAAGAGTAATACAGGAAAACAGAGAGGAGACTACAAGGTCCTCCTTGCTTGGGGGCCATGTAAAAGAGGCTGCCTGCTAATCCTGGCCCTGCACACTGGCTTCAGCAGGTCAGGAGGCTTGAGTTCACAGCTAGTTCCTCTGAGAAGCTGATTTTCAGTTAGGGCTTTTCAAGGCTTGGGGCTGGGTGCACAAGATATCCCTTCCCTACATATCTGAGCTGGTTAGATTTGTCCCAAGGAGGAAACCAGGCCCCTGTGAGTGCTTGCAGCTTTGTCTAGCTGGACTCTCCTCTTGGCCCATGCATGCATTTTATTCATTCTATCATTGAGATTTGAGCTTACCTTATTTTAAGCATCTATTCTTGTAGCACTTTATATTTTTTACAGCACATTCCAGCTTTGATTGTAATTTATTTGTTCATTTTATAATTTATCACTCATGAGATAAATATTTGCTGAGCATTTATTATCTGTCCTTGCGGTACTAGGCAGTGACACAAGCTGGAATTATTCCTGAGCCCAGCTACTTTTGCTGCTGTCCTGGGTGTTCTATGGGACAGGAGAAGTATCTTCAGGGAAGTGTCCTATCTAAGCCATTCTCATAAACTGACACTCCCCATTCAACTATTGTCCAGGGGCTTATTCTGAGCCAGTTCTCTCTCCCCAAGCTGCCCACCAGGATTTGCTTAGTGGTCACAAAGTCAATTTTCCATCTGCTTGAAGTAAACATAAGCAAGAAGATAAACTGACCGCTAGATGCTCATCTAATACTTCAAAACGGGAAAGGAACGCCAGAGATAGGTTGATTGTTTGCTCTTGGGGAATATCTGCTGTCTGAGGGAGGTAATTTTTTGATTGCATTATCCTAATCTTCACTCACAGATGGCCAGGAATCACTGTGCTGGGCTCTGAGGGCTTTAGACAGGACCCTATTTTACTTTTCAGGTTAAGCATGTCTAGGCAAGGGGAAGGTCTAGCAGAGTGGTACAGTGGAAAGAGAAGACTACTTTGGAGGCACCCAAATCTGGCTTGAATTCTCAGTTCTACCACTTCCTTACTGGGTGACTTTGTGTAAGTCCTTTAACCTCTTTGATCCTCAGCTTCCCCATCTATAAAAACGGATGACAGTTCTGATCTTAGGAAGTTGTTATGAGACATATGTATAATGCACCTGTCACATATAAAATAAGATATTCAGTGGTAGAGCAGAATTAGAATTACAGGTGATTTTTATTTTTAAGATAATTGGTCGTTGTCAAAAATTCACAAATAATATAAAGGGTATGACTTGCAGGTGGCCTATTTTGCATGAAGTTTCAAAGGATCATTTATTGCTTCAGATTCTGCTTCTATCCCAGAGTCACAACAGCTTGATTTATTTTTACCCCATCCCCCCGCCCCCTCTGTTGCTTTTGTTTCCTGCCCCCTCTCTTGTTTTTGTTTCCTGAGAATCCTTCCGCGAGAAAGAAATTAGGCTGCTGGAAAATTAATAAACTTCGAACCTCCATTTTGTTCCAGCTTCCAAGCAAAACCAGGCTCTCGGGCGTCTTTAAACGTGTCTAAATCCAGCGGAGGGACACAGAAAAAAGTTCACGAGTTCCGTGATTGAGACACAAGGGGGCGGGACTTAGCAGAAGTCGAAAGAGGAGGAGCTAACAACTCCACGTGCTGGAAAGGGAGTGAGGCGGCGGGCCGCCGCTCTGGCAGGTTGCAATTGGGCGAGGCGGCGGACTACGTAATAGCCTCGCGCTCACGCGTTCAGACAGTCGCCACCGCGTCTGCGCACCCGGAGCTGGTGGCCGCGGGGGCCGCGTGGAATTGTGGGGGTTGTGTATGCCCCTCGGCTGCCGCGCGGGAAGCCGAAGGTAGGGGCGGTGAGGGCCGCTTGGCCCTGGAGTTGGGGGGGGGGGTGTCAGGGCGCTGCCCCGGCCTCCTCCGGCTAGCGGCCTCGGCGCCTTCCCGGCAATCTTCTGGGGGCCCCAAAACCCTCCCCCTCCTCCCACGCAGTGTCTCCCAAGCGGGAGGTCCAAGTGGGCCTTGGGCTTACTAGTTGTGTCAACAGACCTGGTCCCTCAGCTCATGGGCTGCCATACATACCATTCCCACAACCTCTTTAGTAATCCTTCTTAACGTCAGGAGATGTGGGATTCTGAGACTGGTTTCTGGTGCTGCTTCTGTTGTTTCCTTCTGCCAGCCTCAGTTTCAGCATCTGTCCAAAGAAAGGGTGCATTAGGTGATCTCCAGGATCCCCTCCACTGTTGGAATTCTGGCTCTGGGCCGGGAACTCTGTGTCTTCTCCAGCCAGCATATGGAATCGCGCCGTTCTGCCCCACTCTCCGAATTGCATTTTCGTAAATGAGACTCGCCTTTATAGGCGACATAGTGGTTAAGAGCTCAGGCTGCCAACCAGAAGGTGGGCGGTTTTGAGTTCACCAGCCGCTCCTTGGAAATCCTGTGGGGCAGTTCGACTCTGTCCAAAGGGTTGCTATGACGGGTTTTGTAGTAGAGGTTACAGACTTCGGTGTGTCTCAGATCACCTAGCGAGTTTGTGTATAGCCCTGGGCTCCACTCCCAGGGATTTCTGTATGGTGGGGCATGGGAATGACTTGACATACATGAGCCCCTGGGATGGGACCGCAGGTGGGAAAGGCGAGGAATCAGGAAAATACCCAACCCATGAGAGGCCAGGAGTTACAAGGCGATACCTTCAGGGAGGAAAAAAAAAAAAAAATATATATATATATAGACAATCTATATGTAAGATCAATTTTCTAATATTTTAAAATGCCTGGTTTGGTTCGAGCCCAGCTGGCTTTCCTGCCTCAATAAAAATAAAACCACAAACTGCTTTTAGGGATAGAGAGGACTAGATTAACACAGACTAGGTAGGCAGATCCTGAGGAGAAGAAAACCTCCATATTTGCTAAGAGAAGAAACTGATGTGTTTATAAACACTAACAGTATTTGCTTTGACGGTGTGAAAAACGTTGTGTGTCTTTTTAGCTCTCACCCCACCCAAATTTTTTCTTTTGTGATAAAAGTATAGCCAAATTTGGGGATTGGATAGGATTTTGATGGGAGCCAGGGCATGATGTTAGGATTGATGTTTGTGGCTTCGCTTGTGAACATGGCTCTTGGGTTAAGATGCTGTTGCTACACCAAATTTATTTTAGCCTTTAGGGTGTTTAATCTGTGAATTAATACATGTGTTGTTCTGATGAAATTGGCTATGGAGAAGACTTACTGCCCCCATTTTACAGGTGATAGGAATGGTAAATATGTTACTAGGGATGTGGCAGCCCAGGAATCAAAAGTTACCTGGTGCTTTGATTCCAGCTTTCATCCCCCTTCCCTGCTGTCTTCTGAAGGCCAGCTGTTACTTACTTCTCTGCAGAGGCCAACTTTGAGCCCTCGTGTGTTTCATTGGCAGGAAACAAGGGTAATTAAGTGAAATGGAAAAGCAACAAAATGGATTTTTAAATAATAGACATGCCAGAATTTAATGTTCCAAAGAATGTTCTCCTTTAGAGTGGTGTGTGTAGGTGTGGAAGTTGTGGATTAAAGGTGGCATCGTGTAGGTAATATGGCCATCATCCAAAGCAGTTTTGAAAATCCACCTCTGAAATTATCTCCACAGAGACTTAAAAAAAAAAGTCTACGGTTTTATTTACTTTTCAATAAGCTGAAATCTTTGAGGAGTACAGTATCACATGAATTCTGTGTTCAGTGGCCTTAGCAGGAAGGTTGCTCCCGGATTTGGCATGAACCATGCCACTGTTTTCAAGGGTGAGAATTAACCTTTTCCCAGATTACTCTGGTTTTGTTAGGCTTGCCACCAGGAGTCACTGTGTTGTTACTTGTTTTGTACACATAAACATATCTCCTGCCTAAATAGAATTCAGTTTCATCTCAGGCATAAACACTTTCAGTTTTAAGAAGAGCTGTCTACTCCCTCTGAATCGGCAAAAAGGGCTTTGTACCACAGCCTTCCAGATGTATTTGCTGTTTTAGAAGTCCTGTTTCCCGCAGGCCTCCCCAAGCTGACAGGGACATTAAAAAAAAAAATTAAAAAAGTGTTGAAAATATACACAACAAAACATCACTCCAACAATTTCTATGTGTATATTTCAGTGACATTGATTATATTCATGTTGGGCAATCATTATTGTTATCCTTTTCCAAATTATTCCACTGCCATTAATATAAACTCAATGCCCCCTAAGCAAAAATTCCACCTTTTCCCCTCCCTCCCATCCATGGTAACCACTATTAATCGTTGCTTATCCATGTGAGATCCTACAGTATTTGTCCTTTTGTGACTGACTGATTTTGCTCAGCATGATTTTTTTAAGGTTCATTCATGTTGTAGCATGCCATCAGGACTTCATTTCTCTTTTTTGGCTGAGTAATATTCCATTGTATGTATATACCACATTTTGTTTATTCATTCACCTGTTGGTGGACATTTGCTTGTTTCCACCTTTTGGCTGTTGTGAAAAGTGCTGCAATGAACATCGGTGTAGAGGTTTTTGTTTGCTTTCCTGCTTTCACTTCTGGATATATACCTAGGACTGGAATTGCTGGGTCATGTGGTAGTTCAGTGTTCAACTTTTTGAGGAACTGCCAAACTGTTTTTCACAGTGGCTGTACCATTTTACTTTCCTATCAGCAGTGAATGAAGATTCCGTTTCTCCACAACCTTGTGACACTTGTTTTCTGTTTTTTGATCTTTGCCATTCAGATGGGAGTGAGGTGGTATCTCATTGTGATTTTAATGAGGGAGCTCTTGTGGCACAGTGGTTAAGAGATGGCTGCTAACCAAAAGGTCTACAGTTCAAATCTACCAGCCACTCCTTGGAAACCCTATTGGACAGTTCTGCTCTGTCATATAGGGTTGCAGTGAATTGGAGTTGACTCAATGGCAATGGTTTTTTTTTTAATAGCTGATGAAGGAGCCTTGGTGCACAGTGGTTTAAGCACTCGGCTGCTAACCAAAAGGTCGGTGATTTGAACCTACCAGCTACTTTGTGGGAGAAAAATGTGGCAGTCCGCTTCCATAAAGATTTACAGCCTTGGAAACCCTATGGGGGCAGTTCTCCCTGTCCTGTAGGGTCCCTGTGAGTCAGAATCTACTCCTCAGCAGTGGTTTGGTGGTTTGGAATGGCTAATGACATTGAGCATCTTTTCATGCGCTTGTTGGTCATCTGAATATCCTCTTTGGTGAAATGTCTGTTCAAGACTTTGCTCAGTTTCTAATTTTTTCCCATACAAAAATTTATACATGCATTGTCATATGACCCTTATTGCTCTCCCCATACTGTGACAGCACACTCCTCCTTTTCACCCCTGATTCCCCATGTCCATTCAACCAGCTCCTAACCCTCTCTGCCTTCCCATCTTTCCTCTGGACTAAGTTGCCAGTTTAGTCTCTTGTATCTACTTGAGCTAAGAGGCACGCTCCTCACGAGTATCACTTTATGTCCCACAGTCCAGTCTTTGCCCATTTTTTGATCAGGTTGTCTTCTTGTTAAGTTGTAGAAGCTTATTTTTAATATAGGATATTAGACCTTTATTGGATATATGGTTCTCAAAAGGACATTTTTTAACTCTATAAGTCTCATTAATACATAGTATCAACTGCAGTTTTTTTATTAAACCCAAATGTCACGGTTAAGCAACCTTGTTACGTGAATTGTCTTCAGATGAATTAGCAGTTCTTTTGAAATGGACATAACAGACTTTTGGAGTCTGGTGAGCCTAAGTTTTGATTCTCAGTCTACCATTAAGTAGCCATATGACCTTGGAAAGGGAAATCCTGGTGGCATAGTGGTTAAGAGCTGTGGCTGCTAACCAAAAGGTTGGCAGTTTGAATCCACCAGGTGCTCTTTGGAAGCCCTATGGGGCAGTTCTGCTCTGTTCTATAGAGTTGCTATGAGCTGGAATTGACCTGATGGCAGCGTTTTTTTTTTAATGACCTTGGAATGTTGCTTCATGTCTTAGGTTCAGTTTTCTGCTTCATAAAAATGAGACTGATACTTTGAAGAGTGGTTAAGTGAGGTAATACACATGAAAGCCCTTGGAACATAGTTGGAATGCAATAAATTTTGTTTTCACCCTCAAAGAGTAAAGATTTGCTATTAATGAGAATATTCAAAACACATGACAGTCTCTAAAGGCAAGTTGTACCTTTTTCCAAATAGGTGGATGCCTTCCAGTGCTCTTTTCCCTTTTATATTAATATGTTTGTTGATTCATATGCTGACCTTCTCATCCTACCTCCTGTCTTTTTCTCCATTCATTCTTCATCCTTGCCTAATTGAAGCTGTTCTGCAGAAGGCTGTCTGCCAGTCTCTTGGAGTAAGCCTCTTTTCAGGAGAGCTAATCTGAACACTTACAGTGCCAGCCCCTTGGTTGTATGTTCCTAGGGATTTTTCTCTGGGGGTCCAGCTGGTGCTTAGATCCCGCTCTGTAGCACAGGCATCTCTAACTCCTGGATTTGGTGTCAATTTGGACAGCTGTCCTTGTGGAGCTAATCTTTTCTCTTTTTGAGTGATATGAATACTTTATCCTTCTCCGAGTCTGCCTTAAGCTGCAAGCCTTAGTCTTCCATAGCAGAAAGCTTCATATTTTAATTATATGTGGTCTGAAGGGGGGATATCCTGCCCTTTTCTTCATTTACTTTAGTCAAAGCCTTCACTGCTGAGTAGGGGAGGAGGAGAATAGCCTGTTGCCATTCAAGTGGTAATTTGGGTAACCTCTGATTCCTAAAATCAGCAATAACTGAGTTTGTCTTTGCGACAAAAACCTTCCTGTAAAAGGTTTAAGCTGCTCAGGACAAGTGTGAAAAACCACATGGAATTTTCCT